TGGAGCAAGAGGCCTAGCTTTCCACCTGTCTCAGCTTTCAACATGCCTTCCTCACTAGCTTGATCATTTCTAGCTTTTGATTCAAAGTGAGACACATAAGACTCTTCCTTTCACTTGAACACTTAGAGGCCATTGCAGGGTTATTAATAGGCCTAATGTCAATATTCTCGTGTCTCAGGGAATAGGAGGCCCAAGAGAAGGACCAGTTGGTGGAGCAGTCAGAACACAGACATTTATCAACTAAGTTCGCCGTCTTATATAGGCACGGTTCATAGCGCCCCAAAACAATTACAATAGTTACATCAAAGATCACCGGTCATAAATCACCATAACAGAAATAATAATAATGAAAAAGTTTGAAATATTGCAAAAATTACCAAAATGTGACCTAGAGACAAGAATTGAGCACATGCTGTTGGAAAAAATGACGCTGATGGACTTGCTTGATACAGGTTTGCCACAAACATTCAATTTGTTAAAAAAATGCAGTATCCAGAAAGCACAATAAAGAAAGCATGATAAGACAAGGCGTGTGTGTACTACTGTCTCTACTCCTATATTGGTTTGAAATTTTTCATAACGTAGAAGCAGCAAAACAGCTAACAAGCCAGAATGGCTCTTTATCATCTCTTTGAAAATGTTTTCATGTATTCATATCACATTTGTTATTCAACAGAAGCTGAGCACTGCTGGCATCAAGAGCCCCAAATGAGGCACTTTGGTGAGTGCTACATGAGCTGCAGCCTCTCCAGAGAGTGCAGATGGTGGCAGGCGGGCGGGGACTGCCCGAGATCTAGACCACACCAGCCTCTTTGACGTGTGGGGGACATCTCTCTCTAGGATGGTGAGAAGGGTCCAGCTCTGGGTTTTTGTGAAGAGCTTGTGTTTGTGGGACCAGCCCCCCAGCAGTGTTCGGCTTCGGTGCAATCCTACTCCCCCAGCCAACAGTAAACAAGGCCGAGATGAGCCCCAAAGGTCTGAAGCTGAAAGCAGACACCCAAGGCCAACTCTTCACAAATGAGAGGCTTTGTTTTTATACTGTACTGAAAAAAATCGAGAAGAATATTTAAAGGGCTGGTTTTGTAGCAGAGAGCCACGTGGTGAACTTGAAACTTAGACCCACACCTGGCTCAGTGGAGCAAAAGGGGAGGGGAGTGGGATCCCTGGGAAGCTCCACCTCGGAAAGGCGCTTCCCAGAAGGCAGTGAAATGTAGAACCTCTCTGCACTAGACATCCGCCTTCTTTCTGATGGCTCAAAGGGGAAAAAGAAAAAGCCCTAAGAGCTTGTGAAAGTTTCTTCCCCTTGGCATCTGGACCCATTTCTCAAACCTGAATAATCCCTTTTCTTCTGCTCCAGCAAAATCATCAGCTGTTATCAGTCTCTTGAGCCAAAAGGCCCAGCCCACATTGGCTCCCAGGAGATGTTTCCAGATAATAAGTTATTAAGAAACCTGTTTCCTTTAACTAACAAGACCTTTAGCTTTACTTTGAAATCTGTGTAGGTCTCCTAAGTGTGCCCACCCACACAGCCCCACTGAGGCTGAGGGTGGAGGAGAGGGTGGGGATGGCTCACGGGGTTCTGGTCACTTCGCTCTGAACTTGGCCAGCAAGGTTAATATTATATCTGTATACGTCTTTGGGGTCTTGTCCTAACCAGTGAGTGTTCAGAATCTGATCACAGCTCCCCCCTCACTGAACATACTTGCACGACATCCTAATTGCTCTTCAGACAAAGCCCACAATATTTTACAAGACTGACAAGGTTGACAAGGTCTTGTAGGTTCTGGCCCAGACACCGAATCTTCAGGTACCTGCCCAGAGCCAGGGGTTCTTCCTCCACTAATAATCTAAGGGGAGAGAGCAGAGCCAGGAGACCCACTCACTACCCCCATCCATTCTTCCATTCTTCACCTCGATAAGACAGAGAGTGAGAGAATGACAAAGGCAAAATCTGGACCAGTGCGGTGGCTCGTGCCTGTTATCGTGGCACTTTGGGAGGGCGAGGTGGGAATCACTTGAGGTCAGGGGTTCAAGACCAGCTTGAGCAACACAGGGAGACCCTGTCTCTACAAAAAGTAGAAAACTCAGCTGGGCGTGGTGGTGCACATCTGTATTCCCAGCTACTCAAGAGGCTGAAGCAGGAGGATCGCTTGAGCCAAGGAGTCTGAGGTTGCTGTGAGCTCTGATCATGCCACTGCCCTCATGTCCAGGTAACAAAGCAAGACCCCTGCCTCAAAAAAAAGAAAGAAAAAAAAAAAGACAAATATCTGGACAAACAAACCAGAAACTCTGTGAGGAATGTGTGTCCTTGCTGGTCAGAGAGACTGAGTAGGGACCCGGTTGGTGGTAGGGGTCCAGGAGCCACTCACTGGCTTCCCATCATGCTGGCCCCTGAACTTCAAACAAAGAAATAAAGAGAGCGTAGTGGGTGATCTCAAAGCAAGAAAGCTGATGGGTGTAATTTCTTCAGTACTAGAAATCAGCTCTGCTTGAGGGGCGTAGCTGTAGGGAAATACAATGTACATGGCCTGCAAGATGCCTCCCAGTGCTGCCTCCCCCATGGGGCTTTGCCAGGCCCCCCTCCCAAGAGAGCTGCCCTCTCATCTTTGCCTAGTAGATGGCTACTGTCCCTTTAGCTCCCAGCACAGTCTTCACAGGTCGATAGGCACCAGTGGCTTGGCTGTCCCTGAGAACAGTACTCCCTGGGGTTACGTGAGGCGATGGCCCCGCCTTCACTTCCCCAAGCGAGCTTTGTGAACTTTGAGGAGTACGAATCCCTCTTAGAGCTCCAGGACCCCTCACTGGTACCAGAATAATTAGTAGACAATTAATGCAGATAACGAATCAGTATGTGTTTCCCCCTCTCAACTATTAATAGAAGTTCTGTGAGGGCAGAGCCGTATTTGCTCTTTTGTTCCTTTTGTTTTTCAGTTATATTCCCACTTGATGGCCCCGGCCCCGACACAAGTAGATGCTCACTAAATAGATGTTGAATGAGAGAACAAATTCCCATTTTCTGACTCCTGACTATTGCAGGCCGCACTCGCACCTTGAGCTCCTGAAGCCATTGGCCCTGAATCACTGTCTTTGGAAGCATACAACGCCTCTATGCTAGCGCTTTTTCTCTGACTTGGAACATTGGGATAGGAACGTCCTTGGAGCAGGACAAACTGGCTGTCCTGCCCTCCCCAGCTTCCGCACTCAGAGCCCTTCCTGACATCTCTTTCTCTTTAAGCTACATTTCTGTTCATTGTAGCCCAAACCCATGAATATAAAATGGTGAGTGGGTGGGGATGGGGAGGAAAAGGCGTGAGGGACCCAAAGTTTCATTTGCCAGTCCACATCAGCAAGGAGCTCAGGGTCTCAGGACAGCTTGAATATAAAGCCACCAGCATATGCACAAACAATGAGTGCAATGCGCACCTCCCGGGGGATGGACACACTTGAAGCTGGGACTTGGGGGGGAGGAGGGCCAAGGGCATCATAGGTAACCTAATCATCTGTACCCCCATAATATGCTGAAATAAAAATAAAATAAAATAAAATAAAGCTAGTTTCTGTAAACTGAATCATATTTACCCATCACCTTCTAGCATCAAACATGAAAACGAATATAACAAAGTTTTGTCCCTAAAACATAATATAAATCACAACAATAATACACCAAGCTTATTTCACGCATATCCTTGGAAAACTACAAACTTCTGATAAAAATGGATAAAAATCACTCCATATGCAAACATGGTACCAAAACGTTAAAGAATCGCTAAATCCCATGTCTTCTCTTGGGATACATCACCCTTACCATGAGTGGCCTTCCCTTTGTAGCCTAAAGAAAATATTTTCTTTTAAAACCTAATGATTTTAAACTGTCTCTTTGAAAGTCCATGAGTCTGCTCCAACTGTTTATTGCACAATCCACATTCAGGGAAATTAAAGACACCAAAGCTTTTTTTATAAATAAGGTGAGCTTGTCTTAACTGTAAAGATTGCTTTCATCATTCATGATTTCCCAGGTGTTGACAAGCAGCTCTGCTCCGTCTAACTCGGTGGACCTAAGGGTGATCGGGGAAGTGCCTGTGTTCTGTGGACCATGGGCCCAGTTAGTTCATGCCCAGCACAGCCCCAGCCTGGGAGCACCAAGAGCCCCACCCCCCCAGCCCCGTGCACATCACACATCAAGCTTCAGCCATGCAAAAGAGAACGGCAGCCGCCAACAGTCACTGTAACTCAGTGACAACTTAAGGATTTATTCATATCGTTATCCCATTATTATTTATTGTGTATAATTTAGCCAGCTATCCAATAGTACTCTAACAGGACACATTCTTTATTTTATTTCATTGTATTTATTTATTTGCAGCCTTAAAGATACCCAGAGTTCTCAAGAGAGACCCGATGGCAACCAAGTAGTTTGGGATGTTTGAGTCTACGGTGGGGCCAAGGACAGCCACTGAGAAACCTGCAGTGGAACCTGTTTTGTCTTCCTGCTTCCTTCCCACCTTCACTCTCACCCCTGTGCAGACTCCCAAAGTCTCAGAAGTAGTGATTTTTCCCTTAGCTGCTGGAGTTAGATTTTTTTTTTTTTTTGGTAGAGACAGGGTCTCACTATGTCGCCCAGGCTGGTCTCAAACTCCTGGCCTCAAAGAGATTCTCCCACCTCAGACTCCTAAAGTGCTGGGATTACAGGCATAAGCCACAGTGCCCAGCCTGAAGTTAGAATTGAGAACCCAGTGCCTTCCTGTAGGGAAGGAAGTGGGTGGAGGATAAACAGGTGAAATTCCTGCTCCTGGACCTTACACAGGAGATTTCTTACCTGAGGGAAGTTGAAACTGTACCAGAGGAGAATTTCCCCAGCCCAGCCTAATTTTTACCAATCCGAGACACCCTCCCTTCCCCCCAGGCTGCCTGGGCCGCTCTGCTGCCTAACTTTGAAAGGTCACAGTATAGAACTCCAGGTTATCAGGTAACAATGACTTAAACGTTTGCTCCCTTGGCATTAGTCACTAGCCACGGAGGGAGTATATTTCCTCATAGGGGGGAGGAGCGAAGCTGGCACAGGCCTCCTCTTCCAGCTGTGACTCTTGCAGCTGATCAGCATCAGGGCTGGGCCTGAAACGTGAGCAGAAAACACAGATGTGTTACAGCCCAAAGCGCCACCGTCCCAGGCAACAGGCCCAGCAGAGATTCACATTCCCCCACCGCCTTGCTTATAGACCACACACAGCCACAGATGGTGACTGGCAGCTAGAAGGGGTGCACCCCCTCCACACACACACACACACACACACACACACACACACACACAGCATACCTGCCATTCCCACCATCCGGGAAAGAAGGGCAGTCCTCGTCATCCACAAACGCGGCGTTCCCTTGAGGGTAGATGGTATAGTACTGAGGAGGACTCAGCGTGGCGGCCACTGCCCCTCCAGAAGGTATGAGACCACAGGGGCTCACCACGGGCTGCAGGTAGCGAGTGTTCATCCCCAGCGGCTCTTGAGAACCATAAGGAGGAGGGATATACTGCACCACAGTGGCCCCGTGGAAGGTGATGGGCTGGTTGATGCCAGTGAAAACAAACGATTGTCCTCCCGGTGTCTGTTCCGAGTCCAGGCCCCTTTCCTCACTTTCTTTGCACAACTGGCAGGAGAGCATTTTGAACTTGCACACAGCAATCAGGATGAACGTCACCCCGACTGACAGCAGGATGGGCCCAAGGAGCTGGGTCCATTCAAAGTGGGAGACACCTTGGTATTTGATCCAGCCCATGACGGTGAACGTGATCCCCACCAGTCCCAGAAAGATGCCTGAGAAGAGCAAGGTGGCCCCCGCCTTGTCGTCATCAGACACCTGGATGTCAGCGGTACTGGGTGTGTAAGGAGTGACAGAAAACACATTGATAGGGAAGTCCTCCAGGCGGCTGCTGCCCTGCTCCATTGCTCCGCACGCAAGTGCTGGCTTCTTAGAGGGGAAGGGATTGTGAGGGCCGAGGAATCGCAGGTCTGGGTTAGTTATAGCAGAACTCAGGGCTTCTGTGGTTAACAGAGTGTAACAGGCAGAGGGCTGAACTTTGTTTAGAAGCATAAAGGTCTGAGAAGTGAAGCCTGAAGTTTTCTCATATATAGTCAACAAGTGGAAATCTGTTTTGCAAGCCAATGACAAACTGTCTAAGTCCCATTCATTCATTCACTCATTCAAATATTCCTTACTGACTCCCCCTTATTCTAGGAAATGCTTTTCTATAGTCATTTAAGGCAGCAGCCCCCAACCCTTTTAGCACCGGGGACCGGTTTCATGGAAGACAATCTTTCCACGGATGGGGCAGCAGGGGGGATGGTTTCAGGATGATTCAGGCGCATTACATTTATTGTGCAGTCAGACCTCTCTGCTAATGATAATGTGTATTTGCAGCCACTCCCCAGCACTAGCATCACCGCCTCAGCTCCACCTCAGATCATCAGGCATTAGATTCTCATAAGGACCGCACAACCTAGATCCCTGCATGCAGAGTTTACAGTAGGGTTTGAGCTCTGCTGCTGCTCTGACAGGAGGCGGAGCTTATGCAGTGATGCAAGCGATGGGGAATGGCTGTAAATACAGATGAAGCTTCACTGGCTGGCCCAGCACTCGCCTCCTGCTGTGGGCCCTGTTCCTAATGGCCACAAGACCGGTACCTGTCCATGGGCCAGGGGTTGGGGACCACAGATTTATGGCACTACTCTAAGGCCCTGTTTTTGTCCTACCAAAACCAGCTTTGTAGAAGTGGCAGAGCTACCTCCAGGGCCTCTAAAGGGAAGGTGGCCCTTGACGTATCCACCATGTGCTCGACAGCCTGACCTAACTTTCCTGCTGGATCAGCTCATTAGAAATAAGTGGAGACTTATTTCTTGACTGTGTGTGTTCCTATCCATGTCGGGAGTCCCTCGCTGTGATGACTTAAACTTTAATAGCAGTTCTCGAAAAGCTTTGAGGTCCTGTCTTTTCTGGCCAGCGCATGTACCTTTTGCTTTCTGCATTTGGGGAGTAATTCTAGCTTGGGAGAGGAAAGATGCCATAGGAAAGCTTTCTATGCACCACATCACTGGCAAAGGTTGAATAAGCATCAGGTGTGACCTGGTTTGCCTGGACACAGGCTTTAAACCCACTCTCTGTGGTGGCCACACAGTTCCTGGTCTCCAAGGTAAAACAAACAGCTGCTCTGTTTTGCAACCAAACCCAAGCTGATTTAGAGAAGATAGTTTGATCTTCAATGACATTATCTGTCATTCATCACTATAGAGCTTCCAAATAGCCTCACAAATTTCCTCCTCCACACAATAGTAACTATAGCCTTCTTTTTTTTCCTAGACAGATTTTATCCAAGCAGATGTTTCTCTGCAGTAGTTAAATATTATATCAGCTCCCTTTTCTAGAACTGAGAGAGCTGCTCTCTTGCTCCAAGGCTTGGCTTCCCAAACTTCCCTTGATGATAAAAGGTACCTGAGCCACCTTTTAAAAGGGCAGAATCTGAGCTTCTAACTCAGACCAACAGAACCAACATATCCAAGGGAGAGGGTTAAGGGCCCCAGGTGATTGGAATCTTAGGAAATCCTACCCCAACTTAATCCCAAATGCTTCTAGAAGACCAAGAGACATTTTCCCTACCACAATGCCTCTCCCTGCTACAGGACAAGGCTGTAATCTACTTCATTGCCAAACAGATGAGAAAGCAGGCAGGTGACCCCTGAGGTGCCCTCCAGGCTGTGCCCTCAGCAGTAGGGCTGGAGTTCCTTGCTGTAGGAACCGGCTGCCCTTTTCCCGCTGAGCTAGATCAGAGATGCAGGAAAGCCAGCTTTCTCTTCAACCATAAATATGTGCTCAGCTATCCTGACATTCTTTTCAGGCTCTTAACCCCTAAATTAACAGTCAAAACAATCCCTAACATTTAGAAAAAAGCTAGGCTCTCAAAACTGTTCTTCTAAATCACAAATGTTTCCCATTTGTCTTTAGCTACATTCATTTACAATTAAGAGAGTCACCAGGAACTGAGAGAGCAGGGGAGAGAGGTCGTCCAGTAAACACCCAAGAATGCAAAACTGGAATGGCTCTCAGAGCAGAAAGGTCAGGAAGTTCCCTGGTGGCACTTTTAAGGTCATCTTGACTCAGCTGCTTCCTCCAAAATTTCCAACTCTGTCTATACAGTAAATAGCTATTAAAAAAAAAAAAACCTTAAACTGCATTCAACATCACGTTAAAAGGATTATACTAGCTGGGTGTGGTGGCGAGCATGCCTGTAGTCCCAGCTACTCTGGAGGCTGAGTGGGGAGTATCTCTTGAGCCTAGGGGTTTGAGGCTGCAGTGAGCTGTGGTCACAGCACTGCACTCCAACCTAGGCAACAAAGCGAGTTGCTGGCTCTAAAAGAAAAAAAGACAGACAGACAAAGAAACAAAGACAGAAAAAAGAAAGGATTATACATCGTGTCCAAGTGGGATTTATTCCTAGAATGCAAAAATGGTTCAACATACAAAAAATCCATCTATATGATGCACCACATTAACAGAATGAAGGAAAACAAACAAACACGCAATCTCAATTGATGTAGGGGAAAAAAGAGCCAACATTTTTTGGACACTTACTACAGAGGAGGCACCATTCTAAACATTTAATATACATAGTATCATTTCATCCTTTTAACAACCAGGTTACAGTCAAGAAAACTATGCTGGTTATTAAGCTATTGCAACTCAGCTCCAAACCTACCGTTCTGTACCCTGCTTTGGGTGAGACATGGCAAGGTACACTTTGCCTTTGCCAGCTGGCTCCGGCTGGGCTCTGCCAGTAGGGGATGCTACAGGGAGCCGGGAAGGTGGGAGGAAGGGGAAAGCAGTTACTGTTTCCTATTCTGCCTGCTGTTATTGCCAGTGTCATTCCAGCAACAATTCTTCATCCTGGCAGTAAGAGTTCATTCCAGTTTCCAAACACCAACCCCCAATCGGCCTCACTGTGCCCCTTCAGAGAAACCAGCACCAGCCAGCTGGTGCCCCTCCTCAGAGGTTCTTTATCTAAGCCCCTGAGATGTCACACCAGCTGAGTGATATTTTCTCCACAGAGAGCTAGATCCCAGTTCCGTAGAGGCCCTTCTCCAAGCTTCTGCACTCTAATAGAATCCCGACCTCTTCCCCTTGATCCCCCAGCTTGTATTTGCTATCTCTGAGTTACCTCCGTGGTCGCTTTTGGCCTTTTTAGTCCTCCAATACCCGTTTAACTAATTTCCTGTATCAAATCTTCTCTATTAAAAGAACTGATATGGTTTCTGTTTCCCTAACTGGACCCTGACTGATATGTGGTATTAACCATGGGGTTAGGGAACAGATCTACAAAGATTCTGGAGTTGGTGTGGTCATATTCTTAGTCATGAATACAATCCTGAGCTCTTTTAGCAATGAAAAATGGGATATTAGTAACCTATGGCATGAAGTGGCATCAAAATTAATAAGAGTATCTCCTGTGGTAGGCTGTGAAGTGCCTAGCGGAGCAGGTGCTTTGGGGACATATTGGCCGCTACAGTTAATCATTATGACAGTAATCATGGACTGCAAGGACTGTGGGATGGAATGGATGGACTGAGGGCCCTGAAATACTTACAAAAAGAAAAACAACAAGCTCAGGTCTTTAAACTTTCAGTTCACGTCATGGTCAGAGAACCAGCTTTTCCATGGTGGTCCTACAAGAATCTCGTATCTTATATTTGCAGGGATGAATCACCAAAAATCAAACAAAATTTAAATAAATGTCTTTCTATATCTATATATCTATATTCCATGGTTCTGTTTCTCTGGAGAACCCTAATACACAATGATACTTAAAGTGTTTATGGTAAATCGTGATACTATGTAGAGCCTCCAACAAGCACACATAGGAGAATCACAGGACAGGCCTATAGGGTTTTAGAGGAAAGCCACGCTGCCTTCTGCAGGTAGCTATTCTCCTTTTGAGAAACAGCTCATGATTTGTTGCTGGGCCCTGGCAGAGACCAAGTGCTTCACCATGGGACACTGAGCGATCCCTGAGCTGCCCATCACGAACTGGGTATATCTGACCCACAAAACCACAAGTTTGTGCCTGCACAGAGGTGATTCATCATTAAATGGAAATGACATTTAAGAACATGGGAATAAGCAGCTCCAGAATTACAAGCAACTACAAAAACAGGTGGCTCAGACCCTTACACTTACTCTTGCTGCATTGTGTGTTCTCCAACAACCCAAACCTATGGTCTAATGTGGAGTTCCTGACTAGCTGACTAAGGAGGAAAAGAACTCAAGCCTAGTGTGTACGTTATTCTGCATACAAGTGGACCGCTGCAGCATTGTAACACCAGCTACATCCCTGAAAGACACTGGAAATAGAATAAAATAGAGATACTAGCAAGCAGAACTTCAAACAGCATATTTGGTTGTCCACTTTGAGCTGAGAGAGGCCAGAAATACATATCCACATGGATTCATAGGCAGTGCTGGAATGTGTGGCTGGGCTTCAAGGACTTAGAAGGAACAAGATTGGAATGTTAGTAGCAGGAGGTCTGGTGAAGAGGCATAAGGCTGTCTCGAAGTGGGCGCAGAGTGCAGAGGTAGTTATGTTCCATATGAACACAAGGTCATCAGCCATGGAGGAGGTGCTCTTTAGTGAGGTGAGCAACCTGGTGTGTCCCATGGATATCTGGAAGTCTTCTCCCCAGACTTCCTGGCGTTTGTTCAATGAGCCCACGCATTAATACAAAGCTACTATGATGAAAGGGATGAAGTCTATGCACGAGCTCAGGAAAACGGTAGCCAATCTGCCTACCATCACTATTGGATACCTACCTTACCAAAAGCAGAGATGCCAAGCCCTCCATGTGGCAGTATTCCCTGAAGATAGCAGCCAAATACCTGATGGCAACTTGATTGCACTGGACTCCTTCCATTAAGGAGGGGGTGGTAATTTGTCTTTATGCAA